TTTTAAAAAACCTAGATTTTAAAAAAATTTTAATAACTAAAATTCTTCTAAAATTAGTTAATTTTTTTAATATAATTATATTTAATTGATTTTTAAAAATAATGGATTTATAGAAGAATTTTTGTTAACAAACGCTAAAACAAATTAAATTTTGAAGCAATTTCAAATTATTGCAGAAATTCAATTATTTTCAAAAGTAGTAAAATTCTTCTCAAAAATTAAATTATTTTCAAAAATTTTAATAAAATTCCTCGAAAAATGTAATTATTCTTAAAATTTTTTTTAAATGTATCAAAAAAAAATTTAATTATTTTAAAAACCTTTGCTAAAAATTATTTATAAGAATTAAAGTATTATTTTCAAAAGATTTTTAATTAAATTTCCTCAAAGAATTAAATTATTTTCAAAAATTTTAATTAAATACTTTGTAACAATTCAATTATTTTCAAAATAATTTTAATAAAATTCTTTCTAGAAATTTAATTAATTTAAAAAATTTGACAAAATTAAATTATTTTCAATGAAATTTCCACAAAAGAATTCAATTATTTAAAAAGAAATTCTAATAAAATTCGTCTCAAGAATTCCATTTTTTTTTAAAAGTAATATAATTCTTTGCAGAAATTCGATTATGTTCAATAATTTACAAAAATTCTTTACAATATTTCAATTATCTTTATAAATAATAAATTTTTTTTATCTTACAATTTTTTCAAGAGAATTCAATTATTTAAAAATTTTCTGATAAAATTCTTTATGAAAATCCAAATTTAAATAATTGAATTCTCGTAGAATTTTCTAATAAATATTGCAGGATTTAAAAATGAATTTCAGTTAAAATTTTAGATTATAATTGAATATTGATAGCATTATACTGTGGATTATCAGAAATAATTGAATTTTCAAAAGGTTTCAAATTAAAATCTTTGAAAATTTGAACTATTCATAATTTTTAATTAAGAATTTTGCAGAATTAATTTTTTTCAAAAAGATTAATGGAATTTTTTTTAATTATTTGAAGTTTGAATTTCTAATATTTAATTGAAAAATGGCACAATAATCGAAATTTTGAAAATTGATTTAATTTTTAAAATGTTTACAATTTGTAAACAAAAGAATTTAAATATTCCCAAAGAACTTGTTCAAAAATTATTTTTAAAAAATTAACTTAAAGAAGAATTTTAGTTGAAAATTCTAGAAATGAATAATCATAATGATGAAAATAATTTTTGAAGAAGTTACATGAAGACAGCAATCACTCGGAGTGATCGCTTTCTTCATCTTTTATAATAATATTCTTATATTATGTTATTGAATTTCAATTTTTTGAAAATCTTAATTTCTATGAACAAATAACAATGATTTAATATTTATTTAAAAATGAAGTTATTGTTGTTTTCGAATAATTTTCGTTTTAAAATTGCAGGGAATTTGAAAAGAGCAAAAGCGTGGCAACCCTGAGAATGAAACAATAAACAATTCCAGTTGGAGAATTATAATTTACTTATTGTAGAATATATTGAAGGCTAAAAGAGATGTGCTCTTTATTAAGAAGAAATGTTAGTTTGTTGAAAGTAGTGTTTCTCATTATTTTTAAATATAATAAAATCGCTAGAAACTTTAGATAATATCTTTAGTAGCGATTAATCAATTAAGTTTTTTTTAAATGGTACTTAAAAACGTTATTAAAATTTCTTTTTTCACCATCAACATGAAAAAGTATCTTTTTTATACGTATAAAAACATATTTAAATAATATAAAATATAAAAGTTTAAAAAAAATTAACAAAAGGTGAAACTTTTTTAAAAAAGCATTAATAATGTCTAAAAAATTAAAAAATACAAATTTCTACAAAAAAATCATATTTTCGTTTCTGGCTTCTAATTTGAATGGCATTAAGGGCCAGTTTCACCAACACCTATTAAAAGTTAATCAATGATTAAATCCTTAACCGACCAATCACGAGCGGTTAATCGGAGTTGGTGAAACTGGCCCTAAAACTTGTGAGTAAGTATGTATAAGGGCTTTAAGAATAAAATTGATAAAAATCAATAAATATTTCCTTTCGAATGAGAACAAAAGAATCACGTGCTTTTTTACCAAAAATCATTTGTAAGACAGCGTGCTATCCTATTATCTTTATACCGCAATTGTGGTCATTGAAGTCCTGCTTTGCACTTCTATACAGCTGCCTGTGTGATTCTGCGGCCAATAGTTATTATGCGCATTGGATTAAATATTGAGGGCGCTTTCAAAGAAACTAATATATATTCAAACTAATATATATATATATATTTATAGTTATATTTTATATGTAATTGTGTATACAGTGGAGACTAGATAAGTGAGAAACCTGTATAAACGAGAGTAATCAGCAGATATCAATTTTTTTAATTTAACACTGTAGAACTTTGTAATCGAGAGAATTTTTTTGAGTCCAGATTAGAGTGAAAGTACTCACTCTTTGGCTTTACAATGTATAAAATCTTGTCTGTATTTTTCTAAAATGTCAAAATATTTTTACCTGTGTAATTTTTTTTCACCCTACTTTTTTGTAATTTTTTCGTGATTTGCAATAATCAAAAATCTTATTGACATTGCTTTAATAGAATTCTGAGAAACGCAATTATTGATATATAAACGAAAAATATCATAATGTAATTAGGAATCATTTGACATTTGGGAAAAATGACACTTTGTTAGTTTCAGGCTTCGCACTCATCTACTAAAACCTACTATTTACTACTTTTTTTACGTTGTACTACTATTAGGGTACATTTTTTAGATTTCAGCCACTAAAAGCTACTATTTCTGTTTTTTAGAATTTACTTTACTTAACTTCGCTAATAGAAACAAAAAAAATATTCTTAAAAATTATAATCAAATTCATTAAAACGATTCAATTATTTTCAAGAAATATTCGAAATTCAATTATTTCCAATATCTAGTATTTTTTTTAAATTTCGCAAAAGAATTCAATTATTTAAAATAAAATTTTCATAATATTTATTATATTTCGCAAAAATTAATTATATTTAAAACAATGTTTATAAAATTCTTATGAAAAATTCAATTATTTTCAAACATAATAAAATTTTCTACAGAAGTTCAATTCTTTTTAAACATTTTAACCAAAATTTACGCAAGAATTCAATTATTTTCAAAAATAATAAAATTCTTCTCAGCAATTCAATTATTTTCAAATTTGTTAATAAACTTGTTCGAAAGCAATCAATTATTTTAAATACAATTTTAATTAAAGTTTTTTGAAATAATTTAAATATTCTTTTAGATTTTAATAAAATTCTCCCCAAGAATTCAATTATTTACATAAATAATTCGTCGAAAAAATTCAATTATTAAAGATAAATAACAAAATTATTCCCGAAAATTCAATTATTTTGAGGCATTTTAATAAAATTCTTTCCAAATTCAATTATTTTTATAAATAACAATATTCATCACAAGAATTCAATTATTTTCAAAAGTAATAAATTTCTTCTTGGAAATTCAATTATATTTTAAAAAATTCTAATAAAATCATTCGCAAGCAATTCAATTATTTTTATAAATAATAAAATGCTTTTTAGGAGTTCAATTATTTTCAAAACAATTTAATAAAATACCACACAGACATTCAATTATTGTCAAAAATTTGAATAGAATTCCTTGTATAATGTAATTATTATTTTTAAAAACTTTTCGTGATTCAATAATTTTCCAAATAAAATAAAATAAAATTTCCAAACAGAATTCAATTATTTTTAAAAATAATAAATTTCTTCTTGAAAATTCAATTATTTAAATTAGAATTTCCATAAAATTATTTAAAAATTTTTATAAAATTCTTCGCATGAATTACATTTTTTTTATAATTATTTAAATTAGGAAAAAGTCAGGAAAATAAAATGTAGAATGGAATTTTTGTCAGTATTGTGAAGTTTTTAAGACGAGTTTTTTTGGTTGTCAAATCTAATTTTTCGATAGCTACATTTTTATTATTTTTTTTAGTTTGAAGTTTTATTATTTATTATTATTTATTTATTTATTATTATTTATTATTTTATTATGTAGTTTTATTATTATAATATAAACAAAAATAATAAACAAAGTACTATATGCGGTAAATGTTTGATTTTATTTGCATTCGACTGTCGAAAGTACAAAATAAAGAAATTAACTACGTGAAAAACAGATTCAATGATTTGATGAAAGTATTAACTTTTAAAAAACGCGTGAATAATAGTGCTCAACTTTCTTCTGAAGAAAAAAATTAGTGAAATAATGTATTAAAATGGTAAAGTAGTTTAAATTTGTACAGAAAAATCTAGATTTATTTTTGCTGCTTATCAAAATGTGTATAGTACGGTGAACATTATTTTAGTTCAGGTATATGAAACCAAAATCAACGATTTCTCTTGACTACAGAAATTTTCAAATACCGAGATTTAACACAGAGATCTCTTAGTAGACACCAAACGTTCAAATAAAAATTTTAAAATGTTTCTTGCTTTAGAAACGTTATAAAAGCAAACATTAACGTTATGAAAACGTCGAGAAGATGTTTTCTAAAATATAGACATAAAACGTTTTATGTCATCTACTATAGGTCCTCTTTGATATTAAATAAGTTTAACATTTTTCATTTCAAAGAAACCTAAGTTATGAATAGAGTAAAAAAAATTTCAAAAACAGTTGTTTTTTCTTAGTTAATTCGTTAATTGTCAAATTAAAGATCCTACACGCAAATAAATTAACTCCACTCATCGTCCACTTGTTAATTGCAATTTTGAGATATATGAAGATGTTTGTGCTACATGTTCAACTCCGTAGCCGAATTGCAACAATAATGGCTGAGATTATCACACCAATCTTTTTATTACTGACTTTCAATATTGACCTCTTAATGATCCAATCGTTAACTTTCCAATTACATTTTGTTATATACTATATTTTTCATGAAATAATTAAATGCAAAAAGAATAAAAGCAACACTCACCATCTTGGTTCATTCCATGCCCACCATCATCTAAATAAAACAAAAAAAAATTCAATTTAAAGTTAACAATTTAAAACTATTTGTATACATATAATTTAATTAATTAATATAATTAATTTGTATACATATAATTAAGTATATAACTACTTATAATGAATCTATCTATTAAGTGTTTGGTAAAATCAATGATTTTGCAGTTTCTCTCATCATTTGTAAAATTACGTATAGAATCCTGAAATCGAAAATCTAAAAACTAGAAATTCTGAACTATAATCTACTTTTTAAACAAATTCAAGGATAGCGCTTTATGAAGGTTATTTTTTCTATCTATAAGAAAGGAAAATTATTTCAACAAAACAGATAATTAATCCAGAGGAATTAGTCAAATAGTGTGTAAATTCCAATTTCATTGAAAACAAAAATTTTACTATTTAATAAATAATACCTTCGTTTATTGTTGAACAAATAAAGTTTCTAAGTTTGATACAAAGAATCATCTCATCACGAAACCCAAAGTAAATTTTTAAAAAATTAAAAGAAGTCATTAATTATTGTACAAATATAACTTCATTCTTGAACAACTATCATAAAATAAATAAATTCAAATTTTTCTGAAATTAGTTAAATTTTTCAATTTAATAATTATTAAATATAATGAATTTTTAGAAGAATTTTAGTTAAAAACATTAAAAAATTTAATTTTGGGGAAGTTACAAACAATTGCAGAAATTCAATTATTTTCAAAAGTAATAAAATTCTTCTCACAAAATTCAATTTCGGATTGTTTTTAAAAAAAATATTCTCTTCAAAATCCCAATTTTCCTTATACAATATAATAAAATTCTTTTACAAAATTCAATCATTTTCAAAAATTTTAATAAAATTCTTGTCAAAATTTCAATTACATATTTTCAAAAGTTTTCTAAAATTCAATGATTTTCAATATCTATTTCAATAAAATTTTCCAAAAGAATTCCATTATTAAAAAAAATTTGAATAAAATTCAACGCAAACATTTAATTATTTTCATAGATAATACAAATTTCACAAGAATTCGATTATTTACAAATATTTTATAAATTTTTTCGCAATAATTCAATTATTTTCATAAAAAATAAAATTTCTTTTAGGAATTCAATTATTATTTTCATAAAAAATAAAATTTCTTTTAGGAATTCAATTATTTTCAGAAAAAATAAATTTCTTTTTAGGTATTCAGTTATTTTCATAAATAATAAAATTCATAGTACAATTTCAATTATTTTTAATACAATATTTTTATCGAATTCCTCGAAAAATATAATTATTCTGAATACAAATTTGATTAAAATTTTCCGAAAGAATTCAATTTTTTTAAAATTTGTTGATAAAATTCTTTGTATGAATTAAATTTTAAGAAACATTCAATAAATTATTTACTTTTGTATTTAAATAATTGAATTCTCGTAGAATTTTCTAATAAAAATTGATTTAAAAATTAATTTTACTTTAAATTTCACGTAAAATTGAATTACTATCAAATGGATTTGAAAATTCTTAAAGGACTTTTTCTAAAATTATTAAAAATATTTGATTTAGAGAAGAATTTTAGTTAAAAATTCTAAAAAATAATAATTGAATTGAAATGATGAAAATAATTTTGAAGTTAAGTTACAATATTCTTATAATATGAAATAATTATTTTATCACTCAGTCATCTTTAATTATTATAAGTTATAAATTATTATAATTTATAATTATAAATGAATAAATAAATAAATAAGTTGTTTATTTTCAAAAAGGTTGGAATTTTAAATTTTTGAAAATCTTAATTCCTGTGTGGAAAAATAATAATAATTAAATATTTATTCAAAAAAGAAGTTATTAACTTTTTCGACTAATTTTATAATTAAAGAAATTCGTAAATAAATGTAACAGAATATTTTTTTAAGTAAAGTTGTTTTCTTTATTTTTTAAAAATTTTAAAAGTTTCAATTTCATTTTCAATGAAAATTTGTAATTGAAAAATAGAATTTATAAACATTCTTTTCCTTTATTTTTAAAAAACTATGAAGTTTATTAAAACAATTGAAATTAAGAAATAGAATTGATGCAAATTATTTCCTTATTAAAATTGAGAATTTTTTACAAAAATATTAAAAAAGGGATAGTTTTTTTTACCAAAAGAAAAAAATCAGTTTGTGAATAATATTGTTATTGACAGATTAAAATTATCCATAAAATGGGTATATTTCCTATTTCTTAGTCAAAATTTTTTAACAATTAACAATTTTATTTAATATATTTATAAATAAAAAAGAGAAAGATTTTTAGAATTTAGATCAGTCAAACGAAATTTCTTATATAGAAAAAAGTATGTAAAATAAACGAAATTTATTAGTTAACTATAAGTTTTTTAAAATTTTCTAATTTTGTAATTTCAAATATTATTTTATTATAAATCAAGAAAAAAATACCGGCATGTTTTCGATTTGTCAAACAGTATTTTTTACAGAAAAAAAAAGCTTACACAAAAACTGACTCTATAAATATCGATGATTTAATTTTTTTTAATAAATTTAAAGGTAACCAGGCATGTTTAAATTTAAATTAAAACAGTCTCGGTGGGAAATTTTTATTAATTTAAAAAAATTTTGAAATGTATTAACAAAACTAATTTTTATTGCGTTTCATTTTAAGTAGTATATGCTATTCTCAAGTTAATTCTTAGTCCAGCCAAGTCAACAAAAAAGCGTAAAAATTCCGATTTAATTTCAATCCGATGTTTTATTTTCCTGGTAGCTTAATTTTTGGCTTATTGAAGTGTCCAGGTATGGTATACATTACTTTAAATTTCTAACGAAATCCAGAAATGTTTTTTAAAAACATGACAAAAATCAATGTTTTTGTCAATTGTTCTTTCCCATAACATTTTTTTGTCCAAACAGTTATTAGGAAACAGAATTAAACTTTTTAAATTATTTTGCAAAAATCGCGAATTAATTTTTTTGTGAAGACCTTTCACAAACCTACACCTGTTATAGGATTCTTTAGGCTTGTAAATATTTTTACTATAGTTAGAAGTTTAAAGTACTAAACTAGGTAGTTTGTTTACATTTGAAAATAAAGTTATTAAAAGCGAATATCATTAATAAAATTTCGGTTTAAAGTTAAATCGGTTAAAAATTGTAATTTGACTGGACTTAACGTGTTATTATTTTATGTGTTAGGGAAAGAAAGACACTTATGTTTTTTTTGAAAAAACATACGTTTTTTCTTTGACTCTTCGTGTATACCTCCTGGGGTTGAAGATCCATGATTATGAAGGTGGAGAGACAGCGAGTCTTGGGAATGTGTATGAATTGTATTAAGAGCATTTCCGGTAGAGTCACCTGTGTTCACGCTAACCAGATGAAGTGCACCGTGTTGCTGTGAATGTGCCGGCAGCTCCATGCTGATCATAGCGAACCCGTATTTTCGAATCCTTCCAACTTATCTTTCCATTTTTTCTTTACTTTTTCAAAGGAAATACTTGTCAAGGATAATGAGATCTCTTCTTGTCAACCAACTGTCTGTAATAAAAAAGAAAATTAATTCGTTAATATTAATATTTACTATAGTTTATTTTTTTAACGGCTAAAAATTCTTTTAGGAAAAGTGAAAAAAATTAGTATTTTTTTTAAATATCGAAAACTTCCAAAAGAATAAAGAAAAAATAGATGTATTTGATGGAAAATAGTGAATATAATATTTGTACTTTGAAGCCGTTTACTGCAAAATAAAGCGGTTTCCAATACTTTCTAATCTTGAATGAATCAAAGTGGTTCATTCTTTTATTTCATTTTTAATATTAGCTCCTTCAATTTCATGTACATGCATGTATTTAATATACATTTAATATTTATTTAATATACGTTTTATGAAGTGGAGGACATTGGGACAAAATGTACTTTTTTTGTTCAAATTATTTTACAGGTCTTAGTTGGGAAATTCATTTAAATTACTCAATTTTCGTTTTGCCTCTCTCTCTCTCTCTCTCTCTCTCTCTCTCTCTCTCTCTCTTTCTCACTCTCTGATAACAGTCAAGTAGCAGTGAGTGGCCGCTTGACTGATATTAGGGCGTGCGACCACGCGTAGATCGAGTTATTTGAATGAATTTTTCAATTTTTGTACGAAATTAAACAATTTCTTTTCTAACTCTTCGTAATTAATTTTCTATTATTTTCTAAGATCTAAGTAAGTTCTGAGTATTTAACCCAAAATAATGTTAAAAGTAGGGATAAATTTAAAAAAAAAATTTCTACAATTCCAAACTGTCTAAAATTTATACTGATTTTGAAACTTTTTTTAATTTGCACTAATTTAAATCTGCTAATAGTTTAACTAAAAAAATTATTCATAAAATTTTTTACAAAATTCTTCTTAGAAACAATTCAAATTTTTATTTATAAAATTCTTTGAAACAATTCAATTATTTTCAAACTTTTTTGGAAAATTTTTTGCAAGAACTCAATTATTTTCACAAATAAAAAAATTCTTTGCTGCATTTCGAATATTTTTAAAATCCACCATTTTATTAAACTTTTTCAAAAGAATTCAATTATTAAAAAAAAAAAAAAATTAATTAAACTTTTCGCAAAAATTCAATTATTTTCAAAGATTTTGATAAAATCCTCTGCAGCAATTCAATTATTTTTACAAATAACAAAATTTTTCACAGGGATTCAATTATTTAAAAATTTTGTTATAAAATTCGTTGCAAGAATTCAATTATTTTCATAAATAATAAAATTCTCCTGATGATTTCAATTATTTTTAATACTATTTTAATTGAATTCATCGAAAAAGTTTAATTATTTTCAAAAATTTTATTAAAATTCTTCGAGACAATTCAATTATTTTCACAAATTTTTATAAAATTTTTGGCAAAATTTTAATTATTTAAAAAAATTTTCTTCATTTCAATGATTTTCAATATCTACTGTTTTAATGAAATTTTCAAATAGAATTCAATTTTTAATAAAAAGTTTAAAATAAAATTCTACGCAAACATTTAATTATTTTCATAAATAATAAGAATCTCACAGGAATTCAATTATTTACTTTCATAAAATTCTTCGCAATTATTCAATTATATTCATAAATAATAAAATTTTTTACAGGGATTCAATTATTTTCTTAAATAATAAAATTCTTCTCAAGAATTCAATTATTTTTACAAGTATAATAAAATTCTTCACATGAATTCAATTATTTAAAAAATTTGTTACAAAAATTTAATAATTCTCCTAAATCTAAATAATAAAATTCTTCACAGAATTTCAATTATTTTTAATACAATTTTAAGTAAGTTCTTCGAAAAATGTAATTATTTTCAAAAAAATTTATTAAAATTCTTTAAAAGAATTCAATTATCAATTATTTTTAATAATTTTTGCAAAAGTTCCCTGTGAATTTTTAAATGCATTTGTTTACAATTCAATATTACGAAATTTTGATTATTCGGAAATTCTTCAATTAAATATTTAGAAAATAAAAACTTGAAATAATTTCAAACAAAATTCAATTAAATTTTTTCAAAATCATTTATCATTTTTTATTAGAAAATTCTACGAGAATTCAATATTATGTAAATAAATAAAATATTAATTAAAAATTAAATAAATGAAAATAAATAATTCATTGAATAAATGAATGTTTTTGAAAATTGAACACTCATATAGAATTTTATTAATATAATTGAATTTTTTTGATAAATTTTAATAAAATTTTCAAAAATAATTACATTTTTCGATGAATTCGATTAAAATGTATTACAAATTATTGAAATTCTTAATTTACTTAGATGTTTAAATTAGTTTCGACCAGAATTTTTAAATTAAATGATAAGATATTGCTTTTTTTTGACCAAAGATAGAATGATGAGTTTTATTATTCATGAAAATAATTGATGTTTTCGAATAATTTTCCAATTAAAGGAGTTCGTAAATAAATGTAATAGAATATAAATAAATGTATGAAGGTTTCACTTGAAAAACTATAAAAAAAATAAAAAATGTAAAAAAAATGCCAAATACGAGTAGTCTTTTTGTCCGAAAACAATTGACTTTTTCATGGATAAAAAATGATGCTGGATGATGAAATATAGTAAAAGAAAACTTATTACTGGAATATCATGCACTAGACTTATTTGCAACGCTTTTTCTTTATCTATCTGTGCACTGAGCATCCTTATGGGTGTTAGACCACTTTTCAAACATTGTAACAAGGAAATGAAGTCTAAGCACGTCTAAGAGACGAAATAAGTATGCGAAGAATTCTGAATGCTTTTTACATTTTGTAAAATAAGTTCCAAGTCCTTAGGAAAAAGATGCAAGTTTTTCTTCGTAGCCGTGGCAGGCAAAAGGCTAGGCGTTTAAGCTTAAACCTATGAATAGATCGTCCTAATAGAGGTTGGAACGTAGGGAATAGGTGGTGTAAATGTCGGTAATATTCTGAGTAAATCCTGCGTATGTAGGCTTGTTTTACGTTATTGAGTATAAGTGAAGTAAAGTGGGTGAGCAAGTAACTGCGAACAACTTGGTATTAAGACTAAACTAACTTTCAGTCTCGTTTGCTCGTCTTTACCGTGGGACTGTGGGAGTAGATCTACATAGCACGCAACCCTAGCCCATTGTTTATGGAATCTGTATACTGCGTACTTTACTAACTACCCTTCAACTCTCGCAACCACATAAACTCTCGAAGAAATCGACTGTTTTATTCTTTCCCCAACTTGCACTCAACATAATGCTCTTCCAACATTAGTCACTATTACATTCTTAAAATAGATAAACTCAACTTTTACATGTACGTCACTTTTCTCTTTAAACGTAAAATTATCCAGGGTTGCCACAGGTCAGGAAAATCAGAGAAAAGTAAGGGGTTTCTATTAAAAGTATTCTGAAAAAAATTTAATTTTTAGAATTTATAAGAAAATTCTAAGTTTTAAAAAATTCCTTTTTGTTTGCCTCATAAACTCCCAATGGGAAATTTACAACTGGCGGAGTACTGCGCCAGCACTGGCAGTACTGGCATAACTCTGGGATGATAACGCCGTCCGGCGCTGCCGAAGTATTGTCTGTCAGTGCTGCCAGACAGCGCTGGCGCAGCACTGGACCAGTGCTGGCTGAGAATATTGCCGCAATAAATGCCGTATTGTTATTAATTAGTCGTAAATTCATAATTATAAATAATTTAACAACAAAATGGTAAATAATATTAATAAATAGTTATTATTCATAAAATATTTCTCTTCTTAAAGAAATCGTATTAAAGATGGAGACTAACAATGGATATAGTAAATGAAGTAGAAAAAAATTGTTTATAACATTTAAAAATTAAATAATAAACAATTACAGTAAGTGTGCATTAGATTTTCATATTGCTTCCTCATAAAGAAAGCTTTGTATTAGCAAAATTTTGGATTGTCATTTTTTGACATATTTATAATTTTTTTTTATTATGCCTAATACTTTAGTACTTTATATATGCACAGGAACTCCCCGTATAAATGTTCTAAATAAATAAAAAAAAATTTCGACGTATTTTGAACTCCGAAGTCCAAAAAACGGATTTTAAAAATTTGTCCCGATGTGTGTGTGTACTAACATTACATTTGCCTCAATATCTCAGAACAAGAAAGAGCTAAAGGCCTCAATTTTTTTTAAATTGTCGGTCTCCTCGGGGGACATAAAATGAGAGTATTTTCAGCCCGATTCATGAAGTTTAACTATTTTTTTTTTGCATTTTTAATATTGTAAAAAAACGTTTTTTGAACATAACTTAAAAAAATGTTAGGACACTTATAAATGTTTTTCTTTAGTTTTGTAGAGTTTTTTGTTTTTCAGACGCATCTTTTGAGCCCTAATTGAACATTTTTCGTCTATATTAACCGGAGATATTAAACTTTTAAAAATCTAAAATTTTGAAAAATAAGACTTTTATAAAATTTTTTTTATAAAACCCTTTTATAAAAAGTAATTCTTATATTTCAATTATTATTATTTCTATGAGGAAGCAAAGTGTTCATGAAATGAACACCAAAATTATAAAAATGTACAACTTGGCAGCGGTTTTTTAAATGATTTGAAAAAAATTCATCGCAAGAAATCAATTAGTTTTAAAAATTTTGATGAAATGCTCTATAAATTTGAAAAATTATAATAAAATTGATCATAGAATAGAATCATTTTAGTAAAATATAACATTCTTCCTGAGGAATACAATAATTGTCAAAAATGTTTATAAAAATGTTCGAAAGAATTCAATTATTTTCGTAAAAAATAAAATTCTTCGAAGCAATTCAATTATTTAATAAATTTTAATAAAATTCTTCCCAAGAATTCACTTCTTTTAAAAAATAAAAATTTTCACAGGAATTCAATTATTAAAAAAAATTTATAATTATATTCTTTCTCAGATTTCAATTATTTTCAATTTTTTCATGAAATTTCTCGATGGAATTTAATTATTTTCAAAAAGTTTTAAAAATTCTTAAGAAATTCAATTATTTAAAAATTTTGATAAAATT